CACCGATTGGTATCTTGGTTCCGATTCAATAAGCTGGTCGGGGAGTTATGGATCCGACAACGAGTTGGGTATATTCGATTGGGTTAATGTTATCTCCGATTGGGTTTTCTCTGATGAGTCTAGATCAACATCGGAGGAGGAATTTCCTGTCAATATCGCTTCGATTCCTGTTGGATTTGTTCTTTCGGTAACTCTTTTTATCTCTAATTTTGCTTCTCTATTTGGAATTTTCTCTGTTTGTACAACTGAATCAGGATAGACCTAGAAACCCCTAAAGCTAAAGGAAAGTGAATCACTTGTTATTATATATCAATTTGATGAATGAGTTTTGTGAATTGTGTGATTGTGATTTTGGTAGGTGAAAGGGAAAAAAGTGATAGTTGAGGGTAAAGAGAAGCATAATGTGTTGAAAGGTTCTTTCTTGTGGGTAACTGAGACGAGATTGCCATTGGGTTATGTTGATAAGATCTTTGGAACTGTGAAGAAGCCTTGCTTTAGAGTGAGATTCAAATCAGAGAGCCAAGTGCCTCAAGGGATCAGTCAAGGTACTGAGGTCTCGATCATAGTCGAAGATTACGTTCAACAAGACAAGAAAGGTGGTTGTAATGATGAGACTGAGATTAAGTTGTCAGATGATGAAAAAGAAGCTCAGTGCAGAGAAGTGGAGAAGAAGAAAGTGGCGGGAAACAAGAAGGATGTTTCGGGTTTTGGAAGGTCTGAAGAACAAACCTTACTGTCTCCAATCCGTTCTGATTCTGAAGTTTCTCCTGTGAAGTCTCAAGCCAATGAAGGAGCAGGTGGTATGGTTCCTCAGATTCAACCTCCTTTGCCTCAGATGGGTAAATTTGCTGGACCAAGGAGATCTGAGATTCTTCAGCAGAAACCATACCAACCTCCAATGGCTAAACAGATGCAGAATCCAGTCTCTACACAAGCTCCTACATGGACAAGGCCAATGCCAAATCCAATGACGTACACGCAAACGCGTTTCAGGAATCGTCAGAACCATACCAACCAACGACCTTACCCAAATGCAGAACCATGGCCTGATGTGAATTCGAATCGCATTCCTCGTCAAGTTTTCCGCCCCCCTAATCCGCAAACGCAGCCTCAGAGTTTGAATGCTAAACCGTCTTCTGACAAAGGAAGGGGGCTGCAGCAGTATTTCCGTGGTGTAGGAAAAGGACGCGGGTTTGGCCTTGGTAGAGGTCGAGTTCTGGATCAGGCTTAGGTGAAAAACAACTCTTTACATGGTTTTTAAAGTTTTTTTTAGGCAATAAATTCTTTCAACTTTTAAACTCTGTAAATGAAACGCTTTTTAGTCAAGATTTTTATTCAAAAGTCTCTAAGAATAATTAAGAAGACAACACTCTTTTAAGTTCTCAATCGTTTAAATTCAATCCTTTTCAAGTGTAGTAAGTCGTCTTCAAGCGCGCGTGAGCTATGGGTCAATTCAACAGTATTCACGCGCCTTCTTGTTCTTGCGGCGCGTGTGGTATCAGAAAGTTTCAGTTTTTCGAAGTTTTCTTTAATTGGTATTCCAACATTAAGCTAATCCTATAAAGGAAGAAGACGATAATTAACTTAATTAAATCCGATTTGATTTTGCTAACAATTTAAGCTATCTCTACGAAAAAACATGAATTTTAAATTAATCACCTTTTGTATCTCTCTGTCTCTCTACTCCGAGTTCCAACGCGTCGGTTTCTCATACGCGTCGGTTTCTCATTCTCTCTTCAGACAAGTCTGAATCTAATCACAAATCGTCTCTCCATTTAAAGCTTTCTAAATTGAAATCTTTCTCTCTCGCCCATTTTTTTGTTTTGGTCTGTAAATCTTTGAGTCTCTCGTTTTACAAATCGCCTAATTTCATCTGAAGCATCTGTCTTTGTCTCCAAAGGACTTGTCTTGTTATGTTTTTTTAAGGATAACAAGACTTAAACTTTAAGCATTTGATCGGTTCTTGAACTCGATTTAGTCATTAGATCTGACTCAGCTTAGGACTAAACAAGCTTTTTTGCGCTTGCCATGCCAAAAGCAATCAACAGTAAAACTCCTTTTCTTTTTGTTCGGTTGGTGCATTGGTTGTTGGTGTTCTTATCAACTTTCGTCTTCTATTAATTACCTATTGCCTTTTGAGGGGTTTTATCAATTTCGTTGAAGTAGCACCAATTCTCTAAAACTCTGCTGCAAAATCTCTATTGGGTCGTTTCCATTTTCGGGTTTCTGAAAGTCTGGTAATTTCTATCAACCCTTGTCTTTATTTGTTCAAAAGATTAAGGCTTTTGATTTGATTTGCTGGTTTTAGTGTTCAAAAAGACAATTTTGATCTCTTGTCTGAATCGAGTTTATTCATCGGATAGGCAAAGTTTCTGTTTTTTTTTTTAGGGAATGAGGAAAGTGTATAGGAAGCTGATTTGGATCAGACATTCAGGGTTTAGGGTTTTCAGAGACAGGAAATGGATGTTCCCGTTTTTGGCAAGCTTGGTCTTGTCGGTGACTCTCTTAATGTCTGTCATTTATGTCCAGTTCGAGAGTTCTTATGTGGAAGAAGAACCATTGCCTTTTGATAATGTCTCAGAAGAAGAATCAAATGAATACTTTGTAGAATCACATTTGAGAAAGTCTTTGAAATCGACCGGGTATACGAATTCTTCAGAGGTTCCTAGGTTAGCTTATCTGATATCGGGAACGAAAGGTGATAGTCTTAGGATGATGAGGACTTTGCAAGCTGTGTATCATCCGAGAAATCAGTACGTTCTGCATTTGGATCTTGAAGCTCCGCCTAAGGAAAGGTTGGAGCTTGCAATGTCTGTGAAGAGTGATCCGACTTTCCGTCAAGTAGAGAATGTTCGTGTTATGTCTCAGTCTAATCTGGTTACTTATAAAGGCCCTACAATGATTGCTTGTACGCTTCAGGCCGTGGCGATCTTGCTTAGAGAAAGCTTGGATTGGGATTGGTTCCTCAACCTCAGTGCCTCGGATTATCCTCTCGTGACACAAGATGGTTAGTTACTCAAATGCTCTTATCTTGTGCATTAGTGTTTTTGTTTGCAACTTGGATGTTTTGGTCTTTGATACATAGTAGTGGCTTATTTGCTTTCTGATTCTACAGATTTGCTGTTTATTTTCTCGAATTTGTCTCGGAATATCAATTTCATTGAACATATGAAGCTCACTGGGTGGAAACTGTAAGTAGAAACCGTTAAACTACCAAATAATTATCTCGAAACAAGGAAATAACATTTGCTTCTCATGGTCTTTTGCAGGAACCAGAGGGGCAAATCAATCATTGTTGATCCCGGCCTATACCTATCGAAGAAAACTGAAATTGCGTGGACTACTCAACACAGATCACTTCCCTCTTCTTTCCAGTTGTTCACAGGTTAGCTAGCATCTTCAACTCAACATTACATCAACCGTGCCTCCTTATAAATGTGAAGAGATGGTTTTTCTGTCTTGTCTTTATTCCGACAGGCTCAGCGTGGGTAGTTCTGACTCGTTCTTTCCTTGAATACTCAATCTTGGGATGGGATAATTTCCCGAGGACTATTCTAATGTACTACACCAACTTCGTATCTTCCCCGGAGGGATATTTCCACACAGTTATATGCAACACCGAAGAGTTTAAAAGCACCGCGATTGGGCATGACTTGCACTACATTGCTTGGGACTATCCTCCAAAGCAACACCCAAACTCTCTATCGATGAAGGATTTCGACAAGATGGTCAAAAGCAAAGCCCCCTTTGCTCGAAAGTTCCACAAGAACGATCCTGTATTAGACAAAATCGATAAAGAGCTCTTAGGCCGCACTCACCGGTTCTCCTCTGGAGCATGGTGTGTTGGGAGCTCAGAAAACGGTGCTGATCCGTGCTCTGTTCGGGGCGATGACTCAGTTTTGAAACCAGGCCCTGGCGCTGAGAGGTTAAAGGAGCTTGTTCAGACACTTTTATCTGATGAGTTCAGAAGAAAACAATGTTCATGAGAGGTAATGATTCAAAACTCAAAAATTGTACATTGTTTGTGTTTCACTCGATAGATTCATAGGTTTCAGTATAAAGTTATACAAAACGATCAATGTCGCCCAAAAAATTTCGATATAAAGCAATTACAGAGCAAGAACAGGTAGAGAGCTTTAAATTAAGCTCTTGTTGTCAGCTCTGGATTCAATAGAAGAAATGGAAAAGGCTCTAACAAAAGGAGTTCAAAGGAAACAAAGATTACTTTCGAAATCAAGGTTTAAGTACAGATGTATAGAGAATCGGGAAAAGAATCACAATAACAAGAACGATAGCGAGTATAATGGCAATACAAGTCCATTTCCTCGAGTTCCTCTGAAGTACTTTAGCCCCTTGCAATTGATCAGTCCCTCTCATGACGAAAGAGCTCGCCTTTGAAACATTTGACTCAATGTCGTTGAGCATATTCCCTTGAGCTTCAACAAGAGCTGCCATATCGAGAAAAATTTGGTGCAGCTCCAACAGACTCCGCTCTATCTCTTTAACTGCGTCGTGCCTTTCTTGAATCTCTGATAATGTGTCCATGATCTGTCCACGGCCTTGCTCTTGTATCGCCTTTTGGAGAAAACGTTCACTCTCTCCGCTCGATATCAGCTTCTCGATCGTCTCTTCATCCGCTTTTTGCCCCGTTACAGTGAAATACCTTCAAAGATTCAAATTCGAAAAAAACACAAAACTTTACCAACTTGTTCCTCAATACCCAAATGTAAGAAAATCATATTAAACATTACCGTCTTTCGATTGTTTCTTTGTACTCGGAAGCCATTTTGGTTCGTAGTCTCTGAAAATCATCCATCATGTCTTTAAGTTTCTTCCCCAAACCACTAACGACCGATGTTCTGGTCCGATCAGCAGACGAACCAGGACCGCAACCAGAGACTTTCCTCTGAGCAGCATTTGATTTCTCCAAAGCCACGAGCTTCGACTTTATCATCTTAACACGTTTCAAGACCTCTGTAATACTCGAATCCATACGAGCACGAAGCTTTTTCACGGCTTTGGAATCATGTACGGTCTTGGATTCTTCATTAGCATCTTGAAGACGCTTATGAATCTCTTCGACAGCTTTCATGTCTTCTTTAACACTCTCGACATATCCAAAGAACTCATCGAGATTGCCTGAACCAAGAGAAGCATTTTGAGATTCGATATCATCGAGTTCGACTTGGTGGTTTAAATCTGTGTATCTCTTGAACGAGCTTGAGATTAGATCGTTCATAGCGACGATAAATAAATTAGAGAAAAATGTGGATCTTAATTTCTTGAAAATGGTGGTTTAGATAATTGACATGAAGCTAAAGAGACCTTTAAGAGGTGTTTTGAAAATGAATGTGTTAATACTAAATAGACATTTGTATGAGCTGTGTTTAGAACAAGTCTTTAAGGGTTTAAAGACCAAAGGAAGACTTTGTTATGAAGATGAGATAAAATTACGAGATTATGATTTGGTTGGTACCATGTTGCAGGGACGTGGTCTCCATTATTATCACCTTTTTAAGTTCTGTGTAAACATGGAGCCCACTTAACCTCAAAATTTCAATGGAATTTAAATCTGTGGACCTTTAAGAGTTATGTACAAAGTTTAATAGGCTTAAAAATTAGGATTCAAGACAAGAACAGAGTTTTGAC